TGAAATTTTTGTTGACAAATGGTTTTCTGTCCATGAACACATTCAGTAGTACTTCCCGAAGTTTTTATAATCTGGCTGAACTCATCTGTCCTTTGAAAAGTTTCCTTACACTCGTCTCGCCTACACGAAAAAATGCATCTTAGACACAAATTCATATTTGATGTAGATGCATGAGAGTGCTTTGCTGACAAACACCTATCGAGAACTGAATTAGATTCTAGTATATTGTATTTGGTGTAATGCAGATTCCAGAGGCTGAGGGACATTATTCCTCATAGTGACCAAAAGAGAGACAAGGCATCATTCTTACTAGAGGTACCTGACGATCATGAAACAATATTTCATATTCTAACCTAAAAAAAGAACATAGCTTAACTTAAAAATTGAAAGTCGTAATAATTTTGCAGGTCATAGAGTACATTCAGATCTTACAAGAGAAAGTACACAAGTATGAGAGTTCATACAATGTCTGGAACCATGAACCATCAAAGTTCTTGAAATGGGTAAATCTTTATTTATTTGCAGTATTCCTTGTCTGCTTACTTGGCCGTGTAAACTGGCTAAAAGTCCATGTAGGTCTTATATTTATCACTTATCATGGACACTGGCAGCCTTCTATGTATTCTGCTGTAAATGGGAAAGGGGTATGCTTGTTAAAAGGTTATCAATAGACAACATGCTTTTCCAAAGTTTAAAAAGTGGATGACACAACACATAATTAGAAAGACGTCGAGTTGAATGTGTACAAAATTTGTTAGTTACCATAAATGTGGGTTTCATTCAACTTCGGGATATTTAGGGCAACAGCTAGCATGTAAACTGTAATAAAATATATGGAACTCTAGTGTACTGTGTATGTGGAACTATTAATGTGCAAGTTACCTTTAACTTTAATCTAGATTCTATCCAACACTGAATGTTTGTAACTGAAATGCCTCGATTATTAATGTCTTTACTTATTGTGCAACAGAGTAAGTCTCATATAGCTGAAAGTTTCATTGATCACTCACGAGGCATGAACCCAGAGTCCAATTCAGCATCAGTTTTTCCTAGCAAGTTTGATGAGAACAAGACTTTTGCCTCTCCCACCATCCCTATCAATGGACAAAACCTAGTTGAACTAGAAACAAAAACTGCCACAAATTCTAAAGAAAGGGAGCCTTCATTAAGAACCAAGAGAGCACCAGATCTTCCAACAATGCTGCACAACATTGTCTCTTTTGGTAGTACCAGCATTGCATCATACCCAGTTTCCCCGACACCAGCATCTGATGAAGACAGAACTGCAACTTGGCTTCAATCCCAGTTTTTGCAGAACAGATCTCGTGAGACCGAATGCATTGTTGCTGATGATAAGATGAAAAACCAGGAACTGACTATTGAAAGTGGTACAATTGGCATCTCGACCGTATATTCTCGAGAGTAAGAATTTCTTATTACTGCTTCATCAATTAGGTGTGTGTATCTTGGAAAATGAGGATTTGATTTGCGTTTTTTATTGCGAAACAATTTGATTTGCTCTCCTCATTTATAACAAGCATTGTACTTCTGTTCGTCCTTTTCAAGAAAGCACGTTGAAGACTAAATTTAAATAAGTTTGCCTTGTTTCAAACAACTTAAAATTTTATATGAGGTGGTTCATTATGGCGTGAGAATGGGCATTATGGTCGGAGAACAGGCAGAGGTTCTGAGTTCACTGACAACCATTATTGAAAAATTAGCATATGGCAAGCATTGGATGACAAATGAATGTGCATGCAAGTGTTTGTATTGAAGAGGAAATTTTAAAAAATAAGTTTCTCATTTCTCAAACGGTTCGAGCATTGAGACGAGGTGGATCGACGAATCATCTGTGTTTTAATAGAAATTGAGTCGCGTCTTGTTGATTTTGTGTCCATTTACACCATTCCATGTAACAGGTTGTTGAATACTCTTACACAAGCACTAAAAAATTCTGGGGTAGATCTATCACAAGCCAACATCTCAGTACAGATTGATCTTGGGAAAAGGGCGCCAGTTTCTTCAGCATCCACTGTCAAGGTACTTGAATCCAGTAGTCTGAAGTTCATAAAAGAAATTAGAAATGACATTTTAAGCTCTTATACTTTTGTGATCCTTAATAACTGTGCGCATTCTCCAGGATGATGATGATGTCCCGACCAGTAATAAAGCCTTGCCTCGTTCTAGAGCTGCAAGTACAGAGGAGTCTGAACAAGCCTTAAAGAGACTCAAAACTAGATGAAATCCAATGCTAGTTTAACAGTATACTAATATTTTTCTTTTGTAGTCGTATTAATTAATTTTTTTGGGTTCCCCTTTTCCTTTCTAAGAAGGTTCATCAATACATAGAAACCTGCCTAACTGAAATCTGGAACCTCTGTACATGTCTCTTTTTTGTTCCAGTCTTGGGATTCTCATATATCCCAGACAGTAATACTACTATTGTTATTTATTCAACTATAAGACTTCCATTCTGATGTTGACAAGCCATATTTTTCATTTCAAGATTCTCATTCATATGAAATTTCTAAGGCTTCTTATGCACATGCGAGAGATTTACTTGTCTGTTTTCACTTTATCGATTTCTGTTGGTACATTACATTATGACGATAAAATCAAGGTTTTCTACTTTGATTATTGTGACCGTGAGACTTTAATACCCACCTTTAGCATCATGCTCTATGAACATTTGAATTGATGGTATTGTTCGACTCTCCATAGAAAAGTTTCGTTGGCATTCCATAATGAAATCTACCATTTGACCTAAATAAAGTGATGTTTATTTTTAAATTTTAATACTCTCATTCTCAATGCTTAACAAATATAGTATCTTCATCGGAGCGATGAAATTTGTTCAAGATTTATATTATCCATTTGACTTCAAAATAGGTTAAGGTCGAGGTGGTCATGAAGTTGTGGAATGATGACATGGCCATGTTTCAAACGATCGAGTCTGAAAATGCCAGTCATGCTGAGGAAAGGATGGGGTGGGAAGAAAAGGTAAATGGACTGAAGGTTGACTTGAACGAAGAGCTCGATCCCACCAAAAATCACTGATTTCAATATTATTATTATTATCATCATCGAGGCGGACACGATACTTTAATAAATATTTGTATAGTTAATTACTTTTTAATCATGTATAAAAATTATATTAGTTGAAGAATTATCATTAATTATTTAGAGCGTATTATTTAATTAGAAAGCAACCTTCGCATTTAATAATTAATTAATGTTTTAGGTTTTACCAAAATAAATATGCTTCTTGGATCATTCAAATGTACCGAAAACCTTGAATAATTATGTATTCTAAGACTTCGGGATCGCCTTCACTCTATCATTTTTTGGTCAAATTATAACACACAATATGTGTAATAACTGTTTTAAGGAAAATAAAATGTATGTTTATATTCATGAATAAACTAAAAATCAATAAATGAAACACGGGAAAAAGAAAAAAAAGGAGATGGTATAAGCTTAAACTCTGTAAATCCATCGTTCCCTCTTTAAACACTCGGATGAGTCGATGTAATCCTTCGACGGAAGGGCAGATTCTATACAAGAATTGAACTAGTAATCCATATGTAAAAACGTAAACGTGCTCTGGTGGCATCTTATTCTCTTCAGCTTCCTTAAAGTGCACCACCAAAATCCTCCTTTACTCGCCATGATTGAGTCGAGGGCAGCTCCTTTACACGACTGCACTTAATATATATAAGCAATCTACGAGTTTCATATACTACTTTACTGATTCGTCTTCATCCAATGGTTGCAAACACTCCCATGGATTGGAATAAAAATAATCTTCTTCTTTAGGCCTGTCGGGAATAACCGACCTTTTTGCTGGGTTTCCCATGCATTCCGCATGAGCATCCTTAACAGCAGTAGAGAACTCGTTCCAAGTGAGCGAACCAGAATTATATTGGTCTACTAAATTGACTAGAAGTCTTCTGTCCAACGAAATTGTTTTCTTGTATCCAAGATATCTGAAAACAACAATAATCAGACCAAAATGTATTTAGATGACAGTACTTAACTACACTGATATTTACTTCAAAATTCTACTAAACGAGTCACTTCCAAGTGCCAAGTTGAATTTAATGATGACGGTTAAAATTTTTTGTCGCTTTGCATTTATGTTTTCACTAATTACCGAAGAAAATGAAAATATAGTTCAAGATTATCAATATTTTTCTTTGACATTATTTCCATGGCAAGTTCAAGTACGAATTAGTACCTGCGATGACCTTCAACAACTTTAGCCATATTTCCATCATATGTAGGAACAAAGATATCGCTCTCCAATGAAACGAGATAATCGAGCGCTGCCATTTGAGACGAGTGATTCTGAAAAAATCTAAGGTCTGAAGGCTCCAATAACGTCTCCTTCCTGACCTGTTAAAATGAAGGCAGAAGCATGTGATAAGTACGAGAGGGATATAACCCGTTGTGTATTGAGCTATTAGCCTCTGCTTTATCTACTGACCACATTTGGATAGGCTGCTCTAAGACTCGCCATTCTTCTTTTTCCGCCATATATTTCTCCAGCGGCAATGTAAACCTGGATATTATGATCAATGTCTAAAGCCCTTAATGTGAGAGCAGTTTCCTCTGGCGTCAAAGGACAGAGACCGTCTTTTCTTTTCAAATCGGAATTTATGATCTTCTCTTTCCACCAAGGATAAGCATATCTGCCGTAATGGAAAAGTTTAGAAGAAAAAAAATAATTGAAGTACAAGGTGGCAAAGAGCATGCTTGACTAAGCTAAAATTTACTTACAAGTAAATAAGTTCATTTTAAAAGATTTTTTTTTACTAAAAAGAAGGGAAAAAAAAAAAAAGAAGAAGGCTTTCCCTAACATGTTTGGAGATAAAGGCCAACATGCTCAAAAGACCGAGTGACCTCACCTCATTCTTGTTAATTCTTCAACCTCCTCCTTGTTGCAGCCCTGAGTACAGCCAGAAAAGGCCAACATGTCCATTTCGTATCTGAGATGAAGTACTATGAATGGACCATTTTGCCTAAGTATTTTGATGACTTTTCTACCCAATTCTTCTATTTGAGGAGTGAATCTCAAAGCACCAAAGTTTACTCGGCAACGGAGCTTTTGAATCTCCATGGGTTGAGCATTATTGGCAAGCCGAGAATCGGTTCTGTTCAAATGTACAACTTTATATTTCTGAATTAAGGGAAGAATCTGTACAAAACAACGATGAGATATATTAGGAAAGGAATCATAAGTTTTGTAGAAGGAATCAAGGAAACAGGATAAGAAATCTAGTGACCTGATTCTGATAGTAAGAAATGTCAGACCAACTAATGGGGGGCATATTATAGATCATTCCTAGCTCGACTCTCCTCTTGACCCTTGGAGGTAGCTCCTTTAATATCCGCACTTCGTCTCTCAAGGAAGTAATGAAATGATCAACATCAAATATGTCTTGGAACTCACTGTGAAATTTAAGACAACTATATTTTAGCATGGAAAAAAAAATTAATTTTACGTTCAGTACGAAATAACTCATGTGTATTGGAAGTGCAAACACACCTCGGATCGTTCCAAAATGAAGCCTTATCCAGTTCAGGAACTATCAATGTAACGTTCAAATGTCTAGCAATTGCAACCATGTCACATATCTGTAGGTAAAGATAAGAGAATGAATAGTCAATTAATTTACTCGAAAAGAGATAACCGAAAGCACATATATGCACGTATGGTTTAATGTGCCTATCGATTAATCCACTGATAAAAGGAAAAACCTACCGCTGCCCGCATTTGGTTGAGCCCTCCGTTGCACGAAACCATCAGGTAGCCATTGTTCTTGTAAACTCCTACATTAGATAGAAAGTTTGCATACTCCACATCAATAAAGAATTACGAGTGCAAAATATCACACCAAATAAGTTCAAAACTCAAACAACAAGATTGGGACAGAATTCGAGCAACCGATAAGGATTCTATATGCAGAATTACCAACCAATGCATAATAACTACATGGACAGCGAAACCATCCGAACTATACAAGAATCTATTGCGTAATTTTCATGATTAATGGTTGAAGCTTGAGTTTTGAGAGAATCCCTTCACGAATTATCGCAGATACAGAACAAAAGAATATATGTTAAATTAAAAGTTAACTACACAGCTTCTCTGAAATATGATCTACCAACACGATCCTACGGAAGATTTTACGTGAATTCGCACATAAATACTTGAATTTGTATCAACAAAATATAGAAAGAAAAAACATTTATTAATCACATTCCACATACTGAATCAATATAGAACGAAAAGTTAAAGAGTCACTCACTCTTCGGAGGCAAAACTTTAACCGGCAGCTCCGGCAAGGATTTAACATCCAAGGCGACAGCCACAGCGCCGTCCCTGCCGGCCATGGCCGATTCTTGTGAAAAGCAAGAGGGCCATCCCTTTAACACTCGAGGCCCCCAAGTTTCACCCAGTGCTGTCAACTGAACCAAGCAAGTCCATAGCAAAACCGACGTCGTAGCCCTTACCATCCACAGCTTCATTCTTGGCCTTGATACCATTCCACTATTCCTCAACTTCTCCAATCTATCTCCACCAAACGTTGCCGTTTTCAACCCCATTAACCACCTTTTCCTCGTCTTATTACTCTCTATTCTACACCTATCAATTCCATACACTTCAATTCTCCAATTGTGCGTAAAACTACGTCGTTTTCTAGATCAAATGTACGATCGCAAAATATATTCCCTTGTTATTGTGGGGACTGTAGGCAAATAATGGAATCAAATCTCAAATCGAAACTCGCAAGTGAGCAACTTTTTCTAAAGATTTAAAACAACATTCTTTCCCCCAATGCAATTACAAACACATTACTGAGTAATAAACAAAAGTGCTTCGATCTTCAACAATTTCGGGGAACTTTCCGGAGTTTTCAAGCCAAGAAATGAAAAGGAGTTAGTGGGCCCTAGTAGATCCGCCGGAATCAGATAAACAGTGGCCGGCGGTTAGAAAGAATGCAAGACAAACGTGGGGAAGAAGAGAGAAATATGAAGCAGAGGTGTGGTGGGTGGGATGGTGCAAAAGAATTAAGCCATTGTCATTCGTACAATTTGCATAGGTAGGTATCATGAATGTGATTGATACGTTTCTCACACCATACATACCCCACGCCACCCCACTTTTGCCATGCCATTTTTAACCATGTGGTTAACCCTGGATGCAATGTTATCCCATGTAGTCCATCTACATCATTATTCTAATTCATAACACCAACACCAATTGTCATCTTGTTTGAAGGGATGTTTTCTTGTGATTGATTTTCATGAATATTGTTGAAGGTTAATTTGATGTTAATGGGCTAAGTCGTTATATCATACGTACTGTTCGATAGTTTAATTTTATCTTATTCCTCAAGAATTTTCATCGTATTTTTAGGATTCTAACACATGAACTAAATCTGTTTTAAGGAGATGTCACATGTTCGAGTCTTGATGATGCGATAAAAAATTGTGAGAGGTAAGATAAAGTTATGTTCTTTTACATTAATAGTACGTATAATAGAACGACTTCAACATAAAAGTTAGATTATTACCATCAACTGATTAATTTTATGAAATTATGCTACAGGGCGCCGAGTTGGCACCCTCACATTGGAGGGGGGCTAACTTCTATCAGCCCCCCCACCAATGACAGGGCGCCGAAATGTTCCGATTATTGAGCTGAGACATTTGGGATAATTCAATTTTATGTAATGTGTTAGCCCCCCCCTCTAATAATAGGGCGCCACCTCGGCGTCGTGTCAAATGTCTAGGTCATAATTCAATTTTATGTAATGTATGTTAAACAAATGATGGAGTTGAATACAAAGTAAAGCTAGCATGGAGAGGATTTGATGAGCGACATTTTGTAGACACCACTTGACAGCTGATTTGAAGGTACACGCGTAAAGAAAATGTGTTGGATGTAATTCATTTATTTGTCTTGTTTATATATTTGATTAAATTTAAAAAGGGATTTCTAAAATTACAAATCAATAAAATATTAGCGTAACCATTTGGATGACATAAAGTTTACTCAAGAAAGTTAGTTTTCATTAGAACAAAATTAGTTCCCTATCTAGGAGTGTTTGTTTTTTATTTGAGAATTGATTCTCAAATCAATTCTCATTTTCAACCACATATTTTTCAATAAAATAATATTTGTCATTACATCAATAAATTTTTCTTCTTTTTCAATAGTTTTCATTAGAACAAAATTAGTTCCCTATCTAGGAGTGTTTGTTTTTTATTTGAGAATTGATTCTCAAATCAATTTTCATTTTCAACCACATATTTTTCAATAAAATAATATTTGTCATTACATCAATAAATTTTTCTTCTTTTTCAACCACACATTTCCCATCATATCATTATTTAAAAATCAATTCTTCTCCCAAAAATTCCTACCAAACAAGCACTTAGTTTAATTAAAAAAGTTGTTGAAAATTTAAATTAAAATGAATAACTAGTTTTAATTACACATTTTATTGGACCACAACTTTTATCAAAATTGCACAAGTACATTTTATTAGCTTTTATCAAAATTTACTAAAAATCTGATTTTAAAATAAGGGTCCGTTTGATTACAAATGAATTATAGGGAATTGAATTGCCTAAAATTTATTTTATTAGGAATTGTAATTAATTATATTTGATTAGAATAATTTTCCACTTAAAAAATGTTGAAAGTTTGGTGTTCATTTGATTTTTTTCATGAAAATTGTCCATTAAAGTGATAAATTTTTTTTACCATTAGGTCTAGAATTNAATCAATTCTCATTTTCAACCACATATTCTTCAATAAAATAATATTTTCCATCACATCAATACTTTTTTCTTCTTTTTCAACCACACATTTCCCATCATATCACTATTCAAAAATCAATTCTTCCCCAAAAAATTCCTACCAAACAATCACTAAGTCAACACGGTGAAAATCCATAGAATCACATTCACCATCATTGCTTCACAATGAATGAAGATAGACATTAATCCAATCGGTATGACTACGTTAGCTATTTTTGTTCGATTTATGATTTTCAACTAATTATTAATTAATTTTCAATTTGATCAAATCTAAAAAAAAAAAAAAAAAAAAATCAAATCAAATGAATGAAATATTGGTTTAACGGGATCTTGTTATTTATAAGGACATTATTTGACATAATTTTAACTTCTTTTTATTTAGTCCCTATTAGGTGAAAATTAAAATCAAGATTTTAATTTAAGTCAAAGTCGACTATCGATTCCTTACATATTTTATGAAATTCAAAATTTTTTAATCATATATTTAATCGAAATATAATTTTAATCTCTACCAAACGGTTCAAAATATTGATTTCTATTCATCAATTCTGATTGGTGAACTTAAGTTGTACCACAGCCAACAGAGCCCGTTAAACATTGACAGATGTGGAGCCCACGTGTATAAAATTTTGTCAGTGTCAAAGATCGATCCACATTAAATTTACACGTGGAGATACAACCTGACACAACAATCCTAAATTTAAGATTCGTGTCTCCACCGACTCTTACAATTTATCGGGATATTTTGACCACTCTGAATACTTTTAATTATGTCAAAGGGAATTGGAATTTCTTTATTTTCAGATAAACAATTGAATAATTGGGGTAGTGACCGTTAACGGTCGATTATTTCGTATGACATAAGTTGCGCAGAGGATTGAATCGATCAATATTGAATTTCATTCTTGAAAAGAAAATGACACTCTATAGCATTTGATATTTACGTTGAACCTTACCGTACCACAAAAGTGTCGGTTGAGTGGTTGGGTCACAATCAATGGGATGGTCCACGGAAGGAGTCAGATCATGGGATCTCCTTTGTATACATTTCCTGCTTCTCACGGCTCACATTTCATATTTTGGACCCACACTGCACCAACCCAATCGGGGTGAGTAGGTATGGATCGATTTCAAAGAAAAATAAAATAAACTGAGAATTAATACAACTTTCAATGTAAATTTATCACAGGCCTGAGGCCTCGTCTTCATACTCGACACATACCTGCCGTTTCGGGTGCTCTTGTCGGGGAAGATCTCATATTTTTAAATTCTTTTTAGTGTACCTAAAGAAATGTATTATAGGTTTTACGATGTTATCGTACTTACTCAAGTCTGATGCATCAATACATATACTAGGATATGTTTTTTAATCTTGTCGTTGAGATGAAATTGTGATAAAAATTCAAGTATCATTTGTGTTTTTTAAGTCAAAATATTATCTTCTTGATCCAAATCAAAGCCTCATCTCTTAATTGAGAAATATATTTTTTTATCATCATCTCAATTTGGGTTGGAATTTTCAACTCAACTCAAGACTCGCCACTTCGTCAAGAAATAATTTATAACTATTATACGTATTGATCAACTTCTTTTTTTTCAACCTTTAAGCTAAGTCAACCACGATCATTTTGAAATTTAGGTTCAGAATTATAGAGACATAATGTTAACAAAATTTCTATTTTCCACCCAACAATAAATAATTCTCCACTAAAATCATGCAATAATAATGCTCCACTAACACCCACCCCATGACTTCTCATTATTCAATCATGATATGGAACTGATTCTTCTACCAATCAATATTTGCACAAATAATCCACCTCTTAATATTCTAATTCTATGGACACATATTATTTTAAAATTAAAATATTCCAACAAGTATAATTCATTCCATATTCCTCGTGTGCCTGCAAGAACATGGGAGAATACAGAATATGCTGGCAAAAGTGAACAGCAGTTCTTTTACCCTTTTACGAATTCCCATGTATTAATATTCTACGAGGTTCACTGGAAATCAGCCCAGATTAAACTATGCCACTCTTCCTAAATAGCATTGCTCTCTCTCTCTGACTCTCCCTCCCTCTCTAACACACACACACACACACAAATGGACATGAATTGTCCCTGATGGCCGAAATGTCTCACCCAGCATTGCCCAGTACCGACGGGACAGGGATTCCCCAGTTAGCCAGGTAATCGGGGCAGGGACAACAAATAATAAACATGGTCCCCACCTCACCTCCCGGAAATTCCCAATGGGATGGAGCGGGGATCCATTTGTCGAACACACTGTAATAGTACACATTATGCTAGCACAAACCACATTAATGAATTTTTTTTTCTCATTTCAACACAACAAACTAATCGCTCATGTAAAATTGAAATAATAAAGCAGCAACAACAAACTAAACATTTTTCCTATAAAGCCAGATTCTAATGTATGGAACAAGAAAATTTAAATGCCAAGTGGAACAAATGCACGCAATCTACATTATAGTGTAAACATAGCAAGTGTAAAGAGAATCACATGTTCGTTGATGAAGGATATTCAATACAGAAAGGGAAAAAAAGAAACTGAAACAACTTGAATACTATACATCAACCCGAGAGTTACAGGGTCCTGCTCCAACAAATCTCACATCCTTAAATAAAAAATAAAGAAATACAAAGGTAAGACAGATAAATGTGAAGAAAATAGATAATAACACAGTGCTAAGAATGATTTAGTCAATTAAAATACGGAACCAAAGAAAGAATGCAGAATTTACTATTGCTTGCAATTTTTTTTCCTGAAGCAGTATTTTTGTTCAGCATCTGAAACGGTCCTCCTTTTAAGAGTGTTGTATTTTCCAAAATTGTAAGAAGTATTAACATTATCAGTTCAGTCACTGTAATGACCTTTGCCTGCTGTCCTTTCTCATCTTCCACAGAATCATAAGAAGACTACAAGCAAAAGCAAGCGATTATTAAATAAGCAGGCTGCCATGAACCAAACTTCCTAATCCTACTTTAACCTTGTAGCAAGTAAAATGATATTACATTATCCACAGAAACAGGAAAAGATGCACTTAATGCACTTGTTTGTTTTATCGGGAGTAAATGTGCCACCATTAATTATGTTTTATCAGCTTTCTTGAATATAATATTAGAAACTATTGTTTTAAACAAAACTTGGACTGAGTTTTGGTCACTTAACTACATAAGGTCAGTCTAACCTAATTATCCTCGCTTCGTTAAATCCCCTACAATTAATTCCATGTACCAAAGATCACAAAGAATTAATATTTACTTACAGAAAGGGCAAAGTTTTGTAATCTAAAATAAAACCGACAAACTATAAAAAGTTAAGAGGCAATAATTTTTTCGTTGGTTTCATTTGCAAATTTCAATAAAACAAAATGCAATTTCTCAGAACACCAGAGAGCCCCCATCCCACCACACGCGTGCGCGCGCACAGCCACAGATGCAAGTAACACACTACACTTACCAAGCTATATCTTGTCAAAATCATCGTCAAATCCATCATCACCACCATCTGAGAAACCAAAAGAGTAATCATTAATCAGCATGCTGAAGATTCAGCACAAAATGAAAAACACAAGTCTGATGCACCTAGCTGTATGTTAGTTGGGCACGATGATAAGCAAAAGGAAAGAAACACTAGCTCTTTTTCCTTGCAAGTAAAGTGAAGTTTTATTAATGTAATATAAGTTAGGTAAACTTTCTGGTTGGAATATAATGAACCTTGCAGAGTCAGTGATCAGGTTGGATTTGAGTCGCAAACAGTTTCAAGACTGATTATCTCATGGTTTTGATCAGAACATGGTCATGATTTTCTCTTGTTTGGGAAAAAAATGCAAGATAACCAGATATGGACTAATTATTCGAATATATGGACTAATGTGGCAACAGAAACAAAACCAATTCATATCATGCTAATTTTTTCGTGCACAAAAGAGAAGTGTAAACCAGATCAGGAAACCAATAAAGTTTGACTATGGGAAACAAGAGACTGAAAAGAAACAAAAGAGAAGTGAGATAAAAACGACTGGAGGGAAATATTGAGATCAACTAAAGGAGAAAGAAATAAAAAATGACCTAAATCAATTTTGATTAACACATTGACAAGTGCCTTTAATGTACCTGGACCATCGTCACTGTCCTCAAGGTCTCCGAGAAGAAATACATCTAAATCATGTTCTGAGGCAGATGACTTTGAATTATTGCTTTTCTGGTTTGAAACCTCCACTGTCGCTTTAGAAGATGTTTCACCCGATGTAATTTCCTTTCCTTCAGCTTCTTTTACCTTTTCAGCAGATTTTAACTTTACCTCATCCATATACCCTTTTTCATACCTACAACAAACCCAATAAATTTGAAACATTTAAGCCAAGACCCATTAACACACCCACAAATAAAGATGCCTAAAGACATTTATGGGGTTTATCAAACTACACCCTAAGATCCTTAAAATTCATAATAATGAACAGAATGGCCAGAGATTAAGTTGAACATGCTTCCTGTTTTGAACAGCATTCCTGGCTTCTCATGGGAGATCAAGTAATGCAGTTCAAAAGCCCGAGAGAGGACTTGCTTTAAAAAATGAAGTAAGAAGGTTGAAATAGGTAAGAACTTAACAAACAAATATATTCAGTCAAAGGTCCAGTGTGCTTAGATGTTAAGTTTTAATACATTCTTGTCTGGACATGAAATCTAGATGAACTTCTTAACATGACCCATTTAATAGGTTAGAAGGTCAAAGTAATTTTAGGATCAAGAGCAATTTACATAGATCATTCTCAAACAGATAACTACAAAGTTGATAGAACGTGTAAATAAATGTTTTTTCCAACTCAGGATAATTAAAGAGAAAGAAATGCCCTTGAACTCCTTATCCATATAAATCCTTTATATGAGCCTAGATCTTTCCCATAACTTACAAGCTCCCCAACTCTTTTCATTCAAAAATCATATTTTTTCTCCATCCAAATCACCAACATATAGTCGAAACTATTGATTTCCATATGATCATGCCCCTTATACCCTTACCCAAATTAATCATATTTAAAAGAGAAATCTAATACACTTCCAGTGGAAAACACATCTAAAAGCAACTTCCTGAAGAAGTTTACACTAAAGCAATCCAGCAACATCACAATGTAGCAATATGTGATCAGTACTTTCTGAATTCTTTCTAAACATCACACACCATGAAGGGGAGAGGAAAAATAATGATATCTCGTTTGAACCATTCCCATTCAGTTGACTTAAGAAATAACTCTTGTTTTCTATTTTTGAAGATTGGTTTTGCTCTAGTCCGGTCACATGATAAAAGGATAAGTAAAAAAATAAAGCTCAATTGTGGACGCCAAGGCGGCATATTTTTTTGAACTCCATTTTCCCAACTTGGCACCTTATTTCTTTAACCTTTGTTTTCCTAGGTAATCAGTAGCGGATTTTACACCACTCTCCTAAGACAAAACTGCTCCGAAATAATTATAAATTCTTCATGTATCCTGCATTGAAGGTTCAGTAATAGACTTTTTTGAAGCTCTTCCTTCTGATTAAATATAAAGATAACTTTCCATTTTAGAGCAAAGGAAACTTTATCTCCACATAACTGAATCAAATATATATTAGATTAGCTAGCTTGTATCAACAATGGATCTATGGGTAACTATAGCTTTGACAATTTTGAGTCGAGATAGCATGTTCTATGTCAATTGTACCTCAGTTTTTGCTCATGCAGTCGGACTCTCTAAATTTTAATGTGAAACCTGCAACAAGATGACCAATAGGAAAAGTGGAAATCTAGAGAAATTGCAAGGATTTGCTGAAGTCATTTCAAGGTATGAAATCAATTTTCAGTATACCAAGATAAACGATAACTGAAGCTTTTAAAATTACCTCCCAGGTTTCACTTTTTTAAGGCCTCCAACATTTACTCACAAATTTTTCCCTAGAAATTTATCCAGACTTAAGAAAAGCAATTATTATTTCTTTGTTCTGGTTTTTTAACTTGTCAGATAAGCATTTTTTTTTTTAATTTAGATCAACTAAGTGGTAATTTTTTTCTGTTTCCCCAGTTGACATTTCAATGCATATTATCTTCCTCACTTTCTTTAATACCCTCCTTTTACTTAGTTTTATTACTTTCCAGCTAAGAATGACGATGGAAGCACAATGCCATCTTTCAGATGAAATCCTACATGTTCCCTTTCCTTTTATAGTAACCCAAGCAACTAACTTGGTTAAATAGTTCATTTTCTTTTGTTTACATCAGAGATTAAGTATACTTATCATAAAACATGGCAAAAGGACTACTCATGTCTGTTGTATATATAAGTCAGTCTAAAATTTCAACTCTCAACTTCACATAATTTGCTTGCAAAGCTAGCACAAATTGATGGTACCCCTAGACAAAATCCTGCTTCATCCTCACACATGAGAATAAAACAAAATGGTGAAAGCAAGAATATTTAGGTCATATTTTCTGTCTTCCTGTCCGAGGGAGATATAACTTTGACATACTTATATCTGTAATACAAGACCGACAGAATATGGTACTACCTACACATTTAAAATGCTTAAAATTTATGTGATGTGCTTGATTGTAAATACACTGGGGAAAATCTTCATCAAAGCTATCAAAATAAAAGTTCTCGTAAGGAAGGTACTCACGGTGTCACATGACTGTTAACTAGAACAAAGTAGATTCTCCAAAACTTCCTCTCTTTCATCACTCGTGGGCATAACTCATACCTCAGCTTAGAGATTTCCTGCAAAAAACACCAATAATTATGGTTGCAAACTAGCATTGTTGTGGTGTAGTTATTTTAGGGCTCAACTTCAAGTCATCCCAATACTAAAATTGTGATACTGATCGCCTACATACTCTCTTACTGTCATAACAGATAGGTTAAATATCTAATTTCACAGGGGTTCTATTTTTCTGATTCTCACTTCAGACACCATCTCAGGTGCTGCTTAAGGTGATACAGATCTAACCTTCACCGTCGAAAGCATAAACTTGGCATGCGTTGCTTGCCACTCTGTGAGATCCTGTCGAATATTTGAAACAGTAGGAATATCTGACATCTCAGAGTCATCTGCACATAAAAATGCTGGTCAAGTTAAGTTCTGCAACCAAAGATGACATGAAACTGTAATACACGGAAAAGATGTATGTTGTGCCAGGCAACAACTATGACAATAATGACAATGCAACAGTAAAGGCACAAGAAGAAAAAGAAGAGGCAAGGGCTTAAACTTGTCCTTTTATACCAAAATAATAATAGTAACTGATATCAAGTATTATTTCCCTTATCAGATTATTTAACAAGGTTTCATATTAATTTTCTACATAATGAAGCAGTAAACACAAGTGCAAGCAAAAGATTGGATACAACCGGAAAAAGAAATTGAACTTGCATATTTATTTGAGTAACCTAATTCTGACTTCCTATGATGTCTAGAGAGCTTTGCCAGACAATCGTTTTGTTTTTCTTTTATCGTAGTACAAGTTGACGTTGTCGACTATTTCATTTCCCACCTTTCAAAAGTGAAGCTCCACATAGGAGGGCACCCTATTTTTCTTTTTTGGCCGCAACGGGAGTCTTAACTTAGCAATCACTTTTGCTTTTTTGGAGCTGACCTGAGAACGTCCATTACTTTGAAAATGATGCTTTATGGAGAAGGTACTTTGAGCAAGAAGCTTCTTCAAAAACTAATGAAATTAATAAATTTTTTTGATTGAATTTGCAAATTTGTCCAGTCTTAGACTTCAAATATAACATTTATAATATATTAAATATTACATCAAGTGAGAATCATTTTTTGGACGATTTTAACCATACTACAATTCAATTATTTCAATAATACCTCACTTTTCGTTTTCCAATATATAATAAATCTATAATATATTAAACATCACATCAAGTGAAAATCATTTTTTGAACGATTTTAACCATACTATAATTCAATTATTTAATTTTTTGGACGATTTTAACCATACTCCAATTCAATTATTTCAATAATACCTCACTTTTCGTTTTCCAATATATAATAAATCTATAATATATTAAACATCACATCAAGTGAAAATCATTTTTTGAACGATTTTAACCTTACTATAATTCAATTATTTTAATAATACCTTACTTTTCATTTTTCAATATATAATAAACCCCTGTTTGAGTCACATTATTTTCACAAGAATGCATTTATTTGTTTGATGTGATGGAGAATATGTGGTTGAAAAAGAAGGAAAAATTATTGATGTGATGGAAATTATTATTTTATTGAAAAATATGTGGTTGAAAATGAGTAGAAGAATGAGAATAAAAATAATAATGTGGCTCAAACAGGGCATAAATACTACAAAATCTTTGTCATGTACGAATTTCATGTTATTAATTCTCAATTAATTAATATTCACATTAATTTAGACTCAATGAATTTAGACTTGATGAATCTTGATCTACATGAATTTAGGAGGTGTTTGACACCGATTTTAGTAAAAAAAATAGTTTTTGAATAGTGATTGATGGAAGAATG